GCAGGAGGGGAGCCGAGGGTGCCCGGGGCACCCCAGGGAGTGCAGCAGGCAGGAGGGGAGCCGAGGGTGCCCGGGGCACCCCAGGGAGTGCAGCAGGCAGGAGGGGAGCCGAGGGTGCCCGGGGCACCCCAGGGAGTGCAGCAGGCAGGAGGGGAGTTGAGGGTGCCCGGGGCACCCCAGGGAGTGCAGCAGGCAGGAGGGGAGCCGAGGGTGCCCGGGGCACCCCAGGGAGTGCAGCAGGCAGGAGGGGAGCCGAGGGTGCCCGGGGCACCCCAGGGAGTGCAGCAGGCAGGAGGGGAGCCGAGGGTGCCCGGGGCACCCCAGGGAGTGCAGCAGGCAGGAGGGGAGCCGAGGGTGCCCGGGGCACCCCAGGGAGTGCAGCAGGCAGGAGGGGAGCCGAGGGTGCCCGGGGCACCCCAGGGAGTGCAGCAGGCAGGGGGGCAGCCGGGGGTGCCCGGGGCACCCCAGGGAGTGCAGCAGGCAGGAGGGGAGCCGAGGGTGCCCGGGGCACCCCAGGGAGTGCAGCAGGCAGGAGGGGAGCCGAGGGTGCCCGGGGCACCCCAGGGAGTGCAGCAGGCAGGAGGGGGGCTGAGGGTGCCCGGGGCACCCCAGGGAGTGCAGCAGGCAGGAGGGGAGCCGAGGGTGCCCGGGGCACCCCAGGGAGTGCAGCAGGCAGGAGGGGAGCCGAGGGTGCCCGGGGCACCCCAGGGAGTGCAGCAGGCAGGGGGGCAGCCGGGGGTGCCCGGGGCACCCCAGGGAGTGCAGCAGGCAGGAGGGGAGCCGAGGGTGCCCGGGGCACCCCAGGGAGTGCAGCAGGCAGGAGGGGAGCCGAGGGTGCCCGGGGCACCCCAGGGAGTGCAGCAGGCAGGAGGGGGGCTGAGGGTGCCCGGGGCACCCCAGGGAGTGCAGCAGGCAGGAGGGGAGCCGAGGGTGCCCGGGGCACCCCAGGGAGCGCAGCAGGCAGGAGGGGAGCCGAGGGTGCCCGGGGCACCCCAGGGAGTGCAGCAGGCAGGAGGGGAGCCGAGGGTGCCCGGGGCACCCCAGGGAGTGCAGCAGGCAGGAGGGGAGCCGAGGGTGCCCGGGGCACCCCAGGGAGTGCAGCAGGCAGGAGGGGAGCCGAGGGTGCCCGGGGCACCCCAGGGAGTGCAGCAGGCAGGAGGGGAGCCGAGGGTGCCCGGGGCACCCCAGGGAGTGCAGCAGGCAGGAGGGGAGCCGAGGGCGCCCGGGGCACCCCAGGGAGTGCAGCAGGCAGGAGGGGAGCCGAGGGTGCCCGGGGCACCCCAGGGTACGCAGCAGGCAGGGGGGGGATCGATGGACGACCGGGAACAGCAGTTGGAGGAGTGGTGCCGACTTTTGGAGTTTGATACCCCCATGGCGACTGCGGAGGAGTCAGAGGCGGACGGAGAACCACCCAGTCCGCCTTCCCCATGCCCCCGTTTCCCGTGTGACACGTGTTTCCACACGTTCGCCACGAGAGGGGCCGCTGCGAACCACATGAGGGTATGCCGGGCGGCTGAGGCGGAGAGACGCGCGCAGGCACTTGGCTCGATCCCGTCTCTGGTGGAGACCGACACACAGGAGCGACCGACGCCGCGGGAATTTGGGGACGAGGCGTGGGCAGGGGTTAAGTCATGGGAGTGGGAGGCATTTTTCTGTGTGGAGGCGGTTGGAGGGAGGACAGTGCGCCGAATCCCGCAGCGGGCCCGGTCCGGGGTCTTAGACGCACTCTGTTGCATCTTGAAGCGGCTGAAGAGCCGACCGGGAGATGAAGCTGCTACCCTCCTACTCCTGGCGTTTCCGCGCCTCATCCTAGCCGTGCCTCCCAAGCCAGGCATAGGTCAGAAGGCGCTGATCATAGAGCGGCTGGGGGCCTTCTGGGAGGGGAGGTGGCGGGAGTTGTTCGACGCTGCCATGGCGGCGGCACGGCCAGCAGTTCGCCCACTTGCCTACACGTGCTCTGACCAGGACCCGGAGGCCATCCGCCTGTCACGGTGCCGATCTCGGTGTAAAGTGGGAGAGTGGAGCCGTGGTTTGTCTTGCCTCACAGCAGGAGAGTTGGCTCGACCAACTGAGGCTATGGTGCAGTCGCTGCGAGGGAAGCACCCAGCTAGCAGTGGCGAGGTACCACCGTGGGTTCGTGAGTTTACTGTCGACGCTCCTCAGCGGCCTCCACTCACGACCGACATTCTGGCTAGAGCTATCCACACAGCTGCTCGCGCCTCAGCTGCAGGGCCATCGGGATGGGTCACAGAGCATCTGCGCGACACTTTCCTCACGGAACCTTCCTGCCTCTCCCACCTGCTGGAAGTGTTCAACCAATGGGTGGCGGGACAGGTCCCCGAGCGAGCTCGGCCCTGGCTCGCCGCATCCAACCTAGTCGGGCTTTCCAAACCCAACGGTGACGTCCGGCCGGTGGCGATCGGGGAGGTGCTTCCGCGTATCCTCGCTCGAGCTCTCTGCATCTCGCTTCGCCCTGTGATGGCTTCTTATTTTCTGCCGTGTAACCAGCTGGGAGTGGGCACCAGGGCCGGGGTGGAGATTCTTACTCATTCTTTCCGGTCAGCGCTGGCCACTCACCCCGACTGGTGTGCGCTGCAGATAGATGTCGCGAACGCCTTCAATTCGTTTCATCGCCACGCGATGTTCGAGGGGCTGAAGGAGTCGCCTTTCTCAGGAATGATCCCATTCTTGCGTGTCTTCTATGGGACACCTAGCGACCTGTACCTCCGAGCGGGCCCTTTCGTACAGAGTCTTGAGTCGGCACGAGGATCGCGACAGGGGGACCCGCTCGGCCCTTTTCTTTTCGCTTTCACGCAGCAGCAGGTGCTGGGGACGGTGACTAGAGAGTTCAGGGACCTACTTTTCTTGAGCTATGCAGACGATACCTACATCCTGGGACCAGCGGCTAGGATTCTGGAGGCTTTTGGGGTGCTGCGAGAGAGGTTGGAGTGGGTGGGGCTGGAAGTGCAGGCGCACAAGTGCAGGTTTTGGGAGCGTGGAGGTGGGGATATGGAGCGGGCATTGCCTTTGGGGATGCAGCGGGAGGAGGAGGGTCTTACTGTGGTGGGCGTGCCTATTGGGGAGGAGGATTGGGAGGGGGCCCGATTACGGAAGCGGCTTCGCGAGTTGCAGGCGCCATTGCCGTGGCTCCCCCTGCTCGACCACCCCCAGATGGCCTCGCATCTCCTCGCTATTGCAGTTTCAGCACGGCCGATGTACCTGGCCCGGACTATGCCGCCGCGGCCGGAGGTGGTGGAGGCCTTTAGAGAGTGGGACAGCTGTCTGGAGGATTGCTTTGAGCAGCTTTTCCCCCCTGGCACTTGGGAGCAGGATCCCGGCAGGTCTAGGCGCGCACGCATGCAGCTGCATCTCCCTGTGCGCCTCGGAGGGTTTGGGATCCGGGCGGCGGCCTCTTTGAGTCCGCTCTCCTATGTTTGTGGGTGGGCGCAGGCCGCACGGGATATTGCACATTTGGGGGTGGCGGGCGAGGAGGCGATGTTTGCAGAGTACCTCACCACTTCGGCGGGGGCGGAGCTTCTTGACCCGTGGTTTGCCAAGGCCATTGAGCAGTTGCCCGCGACTATACGCCAGGAGCTGCCGGACTTACCCCTGTGTGTGGCGGCCCCTCCTCTTCGGCTTTTCCAGGCGCGGCAGCGGCAGTTGGCTGTTGAGGAGCTCCAGGCACTCCGCCGCTTGGCTCGTGACGATGCCACCCTGGCCCGTTTCACATCCCTTCAGGGCCCGGGGGCTGGTGCATGGGTTTCGGCAGTTCCGGCTCATTCAGATCTCACATTCACTGCAGCGGAGTGGGGCATTGCTGCTGCTATACGGCTTGGTCTCCCAATCCAGCAGCTGCAAGTGGCGGGGAGGTGTGTTTGTGGCACAGCGTATGATGACCCAGCAGACCCGCATCATGCGCTGAGATGCAAGCACCAACACGGTCCATCTCGGGTGCATGATGAGGTGAAGTTTGCGGTGGCAAAGATCGCTAAGGCGTCAGGGGGGGTGGTGACGATGGAGGATAGTGCGGTGCTGCCGGGGAAGCGGGTTGACGTAGCGGTGCGACGACCAATGGCTGGGGAGGCTCATGCTTTAGAGATTAGTGTCGCGGACCCGCTATCACTGTCTCCATCTCTGCTAGGGCAGTGCGGGCGGTCTATAGGCGTGGCGGCAAAGGAGTGGGAGCGTCGCAAAACGGGGGATTACGCGCCTCTTCTTGCACGGAACCGAGGCGTGCAGTTCACCCCTTTGATAGTGGAGACGTGGGGGTGTCTCGGCGGTCGCTTCCGGCGGTGGCTTCGACAGCAGGGGGACGCGCACGTGGGGCTAGCTGTGTCACGGGGGGCTTGTCGGGAGGATGACACTTCGTTCTCGGCTTACCTTTTGGGGTCTCTGAAGGCGCTCATCGGAGTGGCGTTACAACGGGCGCAAGCTCGTGTCATCCTGCTTCGGGCGGCGTCTTCCATGGGGGGGTTGAATGTGGACTTGGTGGATCGGGAGAGGGACGATGTCGAGGTGGAGGGCGGGCCTCTTTGGGTGGAGGCCCCCTACATGGTGGATGTGCAGATGTGACTTGGGGGGAGGGGGGGGGGGGGGGGGCGAGGGGGAATGGGGTGCGAGATGGGACGTCTGGTAGGGGATTTTGGTTGGGTTTTTTCTTTATGGAGTATTTTTATGGGGCTTTTTATGGGTGTTGCGTTTGAGTTGTTTCTGGTGTCTTTCTTTCCCTTTTCCTTCTCCCTCTTTCCCTTTTCCTCTTTCAAAAGCGTGAAGCCAGTTTCTGGGACTTAATATGAAAATGCTTTTGTATACTGAAAAAAAAAAAAAAAAAAAAAAAAAAAAAAAAAAAATATGAATTGTCTTGGTTCTGGTATCAACTCAGATTGAAAGTGCTTGGAAAGCTTGTTATTTAACAAAAAGTTGAAGGGCACGATCCAGATACGCCTATGAAGTCCACAAGGAATGCACCCGATTGCTCCAGAATCAGAAAGATGCCATGATCAACCACGCAGGCCCTTGAGCCAGGAAATGAAGCCCTTTTTAGGAGCTGCAGATGCAAAGGAGAAGGAAAAAACGTTTCATCAATTAGTGGGGCCAAGCAGAATGTGACGAAATGGCGCGGGAAAGTGAAACAGATGCTGATGTCATGGTCACTAATGTGACGAATTGACGCGAGAGAGTGAAACAGATGCTGATGTCATGGTCACTAATGTGACTAAATGACGCGGGCGAGTGAATTAGATGCTGGAGTCATGGTCACTAATGTGACTAAATGACGCGGGCGAGTGAATAAGATGTTGGATTCATGGTCACTAAATGTGGCGAAATGACGCGGGAGTGTGAAACAACTGCTGATGCCATGGTCACTAATGGGACGAAATGATGCGGGAGAGTGAAGCAGGTGATGTCATGGTCATTGACGAGAAGTATGAATGCCAAGGAAAGGAACCGAGCTTATGAGCAGAGGAACAAGAACGTGTCCAGTGAACTAGGCACAATCTGATATGAAAAGGACCAAGCAAAATTGATCATGTGATTGGGTCATGATGATGTGAATTTAAAACTCTGACTTAATGCGATGACTTGATGCATGCCACACGACAAGTAGTCATCAATTTTTGTAACCATTATGGTCCCGTGGGCCGTAGCGTACGTACGATCGGGTCGTTGACAATCGTTGAGATAGAAGTCGATCCTGGCGTTGCATTGTTCCAGCGTCTCGTTTTCTGGCGAATTGCAATACCCGTTGCTTCTCCAATTCTTCACCTCATCACACGTAAAAAACCCTGCAGACCACTCGAAAGGAAGACAGGAGCAGGGAAGTGTGGGGGTAGGGATTGAATAAGCACCAATACATACCCAGCTTCTTTCACCGAAGGGAAACAAGCAGAAAACTAACCAAATTGCTGCTATTGATGACTTACCGTAATGACTCACTCGGAGTCACTCGAAGTCAATAAACGGGTGAAAACCTTTTGTGAACACGGTGTTCGGCACGGATCCCGGGCACATGACGAAAGTATCTGATAGGAGGAAGGGAACCTTACCATCTGAAGTCTTCTTGGGCTCGACCTTCTTGGCAACAACAGCAGTGGAAGCATACGGTGAGAGAACGAGCGCGACAATTAGCACGAGAGAAATAGCCGTGATTCCGCTGAGGCGCGCCATTATGATAGCTATTATCAATCGTGATGGTTCTAGACGTTTTGCAATTTAATACCTTGGAGAGACGAAGATTTGATCGTACTACATAACAATGAGCAAAAACCAGCAGATGATTAGTACTAAATACAGAACTACGCCTTCGGGAAGTTTACGACGAATCGGAGGGGATGGTTGCGCCAGGGCATGAGGGATTGCCATTGGCTGTGGATCGCGATGCCTTCTCCCAAAGACGAATGAACAAGTAGGTTCCGCGGTCTGAGCGAGAAACACGATCCATATGGCCTTGCGACTTGTGAGGGCCAATCAGTTAGAGTCGAGCAATGTTCGTGTTCAGCAGCCCATTCATCCCAGGTAACTCGCAGGCAATTTTCGCGCACTACTAGGGACGAAGATGGTATCCCAGTAACAGGCCCAAGCCGACATGTCCCGCCCGCTTGCTAAAGCCCGAAAAACAGAGTCGTATCACGACTGAAAAAAAAGGGGGAAGCGGGTTCCTACCCTGGACACTCTCTGAAAATGGCCAGCTGGCCCTTGGCAAGATCCGCCGTGCATTTCTCGTCGAGCTTAGTGCAAAGGCGAAACAAGACAGCGTTTCAGCTAAGCGTTGTACAGGTTAGGATTTCGCAACTGGATTCTGCAGATGCTCGAGGAAGGTTTTGTTGGCTTCGTTCACCGATGGTGTGAAGTTGCCACAACTGCTTGGGGTCACTATTAGTGAAGTCAAGCCACCAAGAATCGTGAGGTTGGAAGATTCGCGTCGAACGACTAAAACGAACTGTTGCGCAGCACAATATGGGCCCTGCCGAGTCAGCGAAACTCGTCAGACTTTTTCGATCGCTATTTCCGTCAGATGCGGCAGCTGAACCGAACGCGTCAGAACAGACTCATTATAAAAAGCACGAATATTTCCTTAAAGAAACTGCACAAGGACCGATGAATAGAGCTAACAAAAGCGTGATAGGAAATAGGTTTAACATCTTTAGAGAAACAGATATGAAATCCTGATGCTGAGGACATATATGAACACGTCCAGGATTGGTTATTACGACTCATGAGTCTCTTTATACATTAGTAATCAAGCGGCCATCTTTAACCTATTGCTTTTGTTCGGGTATAATACTCTCATGCGATAAAACCATCCATTGGGTTAGTAATGTTGTGACACCCCACGTACTCACAGCTGCCACTTGCACCATCTCAATGGCGAAAAGAGGAACTTTCAAGGAAGGCCTTTGGCAACAGCGGAGAGGGCGGGTTGCAGGGAGATTAGCAGAGGATGGTCTCGGAGGGCAGATGCGATGGCAGCAGTGGCGGCCCGGAGAGAAGCTGTGAAGGTAGTGTGTGTGGCTCTGACGAGATGGTGGGATGGGCGGGATGGGGATATAGTGAAAATGGGAGATAGGGAGATGATAATATGAAGAAAAGATGAGAGCAGGATGCAAGATGGAGAAAAGTCAGGATAAGGTATTTGAAAAATCTATATTGCACCATCGTCCCTCACTTTACAACAGTTCCCTTCAACTCTCGCACAACCGTCTCCCACTTTCACCCTCTCCCACTCACTACCCTCATCACCATGTGTCTCTCGCACCCGTCTCCCCTTGTCTCCCCTTGTGCCTCAATCACACAATCTCTCCATGCAACTCATCTCTCCATCTAGCCCCTCTTCGATTACTCCTCCTCCCTTCCCCAACCCCCCCCCCCCCCATCCCCATTACCCCCTCCATCCTCTCCCTTCTCCCACACACACCTCATTTCTTCATCAAGTCAATCTTTTTTTACCCTCACCCTTTCCCTTCTCCCACTTCTCTCCCCCTCCCCTTTTCTCCCCCTCCGACATTCCCTCCTCCGACAAACCCCGTGCCAATTCCTCTGCCACTAACTGCCGACGGAATGCAGCACATGCTGCATCTAACTTGGCATCGCCATATGCATAATCAGAGAGCTTGCCTCCATAGGTTCTACCCTCCACCCAATGCTCCCATGTCCATCAACCTCCTCCTCCCCCTCCTCCCACTCCTCCCCCTCCTCCCCTTCCTCCCCTCCCCATCCACCTTACCTCGCCCATCTATGCCTTTCCTTCTTGCTTCTACGTCTGATGAGGATGATGAGGGTGATGAGGCGAATGAGGATGACGAGGGGAATGAGGAGGATGAGGGGAATGAGGATGATGAGGGGAATGAGGAGGATGAGGGGAATGAGGATGTTGAGGGGAATGAGGATGATGAGGCGAATGGGGATGATAAGGCGAATGGGGATGCTGAGGGGAATGAGGATGATGAGGAGAATGAGGATGATGACGGGAACGAGGATTATGAGGCAAATGCGAAAAGATGAGGGAAATGAGGATGATGAGGGGAATGACGACGAGGAGGCAAATGAGGATGATGAGGGGAATGAGGATGTGTCAAGGCCTGGAAGAGTGGAGGCTGTGAGGATGGTGGTGCGTGAGAGAGGTGGAGAGGAGGGCGGATACCCTTTGAAGGAAGGTGGGAGAGACGATGGGTGAGGTGATGCATTTATAACATTTTCTAAAATGTCACCTCTACAGGTTGGCACCGAGGGAGGTGGGGTGTGTGTGACGGAGGAAACAAAAAATGAAATTATGTGACTCGTGTGCTCGAGCCCATCTCCTCAAGCCCGTCAGATCAACCTCATTCGCTCTCGAACTCATGTGCTCGAGCCCATCTCCCCAAGCCCATCAACTCAACCTCATTCGCTCTCCGACTCGTGTGCTCGAGCCCATCTCCCCAAGCCTGTCAGCTCAACCTCATTCGCTCTCTGTCTCGTGTGCTCGAGCCCATCTCCCCAAGCCCGCCAGTTCAACCCCATTCGCTCTCAGAATCGTGTGCTCAAGCCCATCTCCCCAAGCCCATCAACTCAACCTCATTCGCTCTCCGACTCGTGTGCTCGAGCCCATCTCCCCAAGCCCGCCAGCTCAACCCCATTCGCTCTCAGTCTCATGTGCTCGAGCCCATCTCCCCAAGCCCGTCAGCTCAACCTCATTCGCTCTCAGTCCCGTGTGCTCGAGCCCATATCCCCAAGCCCATCAGCTCAACCTCATTCGCTCTCCGACTCGTGTGCTCGAGCCCATCTCCCCAAGCCCATCAGCTCAACCTCATTCGCTCTCAGACTCGTGTGCTCGAGCCCATCTCCCCAAGCCCGTCAGCTCAACCTCATTCGCCCTCAGTCTCGTGTGCTCGAGCCCATCTCCCCAAGCCCGTCAGCTCAACCTCATTCGCTCTCAGACTCGTGTGCTCGAGCCCATCTCCCCAAGCCCGACAGCTCAACCTCATTCGTGCTCAGACTCGTGTGCTCGAGCCCATCTCCCCAAGCCCATCAGCTCAACCCCATTCGCTGTCAGATTCGTGTGCTCAAGCTTATCTCCCCAAGCCCATCAACTCAACCTCATTCGCTCTCCGACTCGTATGCTCGAGCCCATCTCCCAAAGCCCGTCAGCTCAACCCCATTCGCTCTCAGACTCGTGTGCTCAAGCCCATCTCCCCAAGCCCATCAACTCAACCTCATTCGCTCTCAGTCTCGTGTGCTCGAGCCCATCTCCCCAAGCTCGTCAGCTCAACCTCATTCGCTCTCAGACTCGTGTGCTCGAGCCCATCTCCCCAAGCCCGTCATCTCAACCTCATTCGCTCTCAGACTCGTGTGCTCGAGCCCAAAATTATTCAAGCCCGTCAGCTCAACCTCATTCGTCCTCAGACTCATGTGCTCGAGCCCATCTCCTCATGCCCCTCTTTAGCTCTCAGACTCGTGTGCTAGAGCCCACTTCCCCCTAAGCCCGTCAGCTTGACCTCATTCGCTCTTAGACTCGTGTGCTTGAGCCCATCTCCCCGAGCCCGTCATCTCAACCTCATTCGCTCTCAGACTCGTGTGCACGAGCCCATCTCCCCAAGCCCGTCAGCTCACCCTCATTTGCTCTCAGACTCGTGTGCTCGAGCCCATCTCCCCAAGCCCGTCAGCTCAACCTCATTCGCTCTCAGACTCGTGTGCTCGAGCCCATCTCCCCAAGCCCGTCAGCTCAACCTCTTTCGCTCTCATACTCGTGTGCTCAAGCCCATCTCCCCAAGCCCGTCAGCTCAACCCCATTCGCTCTCAGACTCGTGTGCTCAAGCCCATCTCCCCAAGCCCGTCAGCTCAACCTCATTCGCTCTCAGACTCGTGTGCTCGAGCCCATCTCCCCAAACCCGTCAGCTCAACGTCATTCGCTCTCAGACTCGTGTGCTCGAGCCCATCTCCCCAAGCCCGTCAGCTCAACCTCATTCGCTCTCAGACTCATGTGCTCGAGCCAATCTCCCCAAGCCCGTCAGCTCAACCCCATTCGCTCTCAGACTCGTGTGCTCAAGCCCATCTCCCCAAGCCCATCAACTCAACCTCATTCGCTCTCCGACTTGTGTGCTCGAGCCCATCACCCCGAGCCCGTCAGCTCAACCTCTTTCGCTCTCAGACTCGTGTGCTCGAGCCCATCTCCCCAAGCCCGTCAACTCAACCTCATTCGCTCTCAGACTCGTGTGCTCGAGCCCATCTCCCCAAGCCCGTCAGCTCACCCTAATTCGCTCTCAGACTCGTGTGCTCGAGCCCATCTCCCCAAGCCCGTCACCTCAACCTCATTCGCTCTCAGACGCGTGTGCTCAAGCCCATCTCCCCAATCCCGTCACCTCAACCTCATTCGCTCTCCGACTCGTGTGCTCGAGCCCATCTCCCCAAGCCCGTCAACTCAACCTCATTCGCTCTCAGACTCGTGTGCACGAGCCCATCTCCCCAAGCCCGTCAACTCACCCTCATTCGCTCTCAGACTCGTGTGCTCGAGCCCATCTCCCCAAGCCCGTCAGCTCAACCTCATTCGCTCTCAGACTCGTGTGCTCGAGCCCATCTCCCCAAGCCCGTCAGCTCAACCTCTTTCGCTCTCAGACTCGTGTACTCGAGCCCATCTCCCCAAGCCCGTCAGCTCAACCCCATTCGCTCTCAGACTCGTGTGCTCGAGCCCATCT